TTTGTGGGAAATCAGCCCCTCTTGTTTCTTAAGGAATCAGTGGTGTTGATTCATTGGGTTGGTACAGGCATAACACCTCTTTCCTGTTAATCATGTTTCTATGAGGACTGGGAAACAGGCAGCTGTTTTCAGATTTTAAGATATAAACTCACCCCAGTTAGTATTAAGTTTGTCATTGAACTGCAAAGGGGAAGGGGATTTGTTCAGGTGAAAATGATGGGACACACACACAGAGATGAACACATAGAGTCCCAAGGTGTGTTTCTTATACCGTAGTTAAGAGGTCAGGAAACACTGCATCTGCAGTGTCTGGGAGTGTGCAAGGTTTAAATCTAATGAAACGTTTGTGTTGTTGTTTTTTTTGGTATTTTGATTTCTTTTAGGAGCCAAATTTATCGGTATATTCCCTATCCCGGACACCTATAATAGAGATGATGACAAAATCTATTTCTTTTTCCAAGAAGTTTCTCAAGTCAGCAGCTCATCTGACAAAGTGATCCTTTCCCAAGTTGGCAGAGTCTGTAAGGTGAGAAATGGGATTAAAAAAACAACAACACACAAACTTTCTATTTTTCTTTAACAAATATTAATTTCACTGGGGAGGAAATAACTCTCTTCAAAGTACTGTCGAGGCTTCATATAATAATGTCTAGAATCCCCTTAACCGGTTGATTTGATCAGCAGCTGGTATTTTGGAATTCTCATATTTTCATGGTTGATAATCAAATTAAATTGTAGTCAGTTTAATTGCCAGTCACTGAGTGCTGAATCTGTGTTTACACTTGCAAATAATCCTGATGCACACTCAAACTTTTCTTTTTATTGGGAAATTTTGGTGGGGTAGCAGAGTGCTCAAAGGCTTTAAGAGAGCAGAGCTTATCCAATCAGTGTGTGTGCCAGCAAGAAACAAAGTTACATGGAGACTCTTTATCTTTTCAAACTCATAATATGAATTTATTATAGGAACTCCATTTCTAAGATGTTTAATGTCCTAGCTTGTCTCTCTGGCCCATTCAACATCTAGCCTTTGCTCCATTGTTTTACCAAATCTACACTGGAACAGAAGATGTGACTCAAAACCACATTCAAAACCCCCGGGCTAATGCTGTACTGACTGCAGAGTCACCATGAACGGCCATAAAATGCCCATAAATTTATGCAGACGGTACCATAAAACCAAGAGATCAAAGGAAGTGAAACCGGCATGTAGTGTGGAGGCTACCATAAAATCCGACAATCAAAGAAAGTGAAAGTGGCATGCAATGTAGAGGGGAATTTCTGCTCCAGTGTGGGTTTGGTAAAACAGTGGCATGAATGCTGCATGCAGAATGGGTCTCTCTCTCTCTTGTAGTCTTCCTCTGTTAGTCTGAGGCAAGAGACAGCGCATAGGCCTTGACTTCCAATATTTTTGTCATAGGGCAATTCTGCATCTAGCATAGGGCTGCCAAATAGGGCCGGGGGCGGGGAAAACCCCGCTTTGGAGGCCCGATTTCCGCCGCGGCGGAATCGGGCCCCGGGGGAAACCCCACCCCCGCGTGCACGTCACAGGGAAGTGACGTCATGACGCCGGGTACGCTGGGGGCGAGGCCACAGCCATTTGAGGGGAAAACTCTATGTTTTCCCCTCAAATGGCAGCCATGTATGTATATATTCACATTTTTAAAAAATGTGCATTTGCCTTTGAGCAGAAACCTCTTTTGGCTCACATTCAGTATACCTAAGCCTGCATGAGAATATAACACAGCACAAAAGCCAAGGCATGAGATGTGTTTCATCTGATATGAGCAGGAATATTTCTGTTTTCCACAAGCCAAAAAACCCATGCCAGTTACTGCAGATAAGCTGCTAAGTTCTGTTTCTTGGAAGCCCAATATCAAAGATGCTGTTTGTCATGACAAATTATGCACTGTAGCCTGATTGTAAATGCTGAAAGAACTTCCTCTCCATTTATAATACTATACCCTTGGTGACATGCAGACAGAAGGTGATGTAATTTTAAATCAGCATTCAGGCTTTTCTTCTTTTAAATAAAATTCTCCATTGTAAAACATCACTGTAAGATATGTAAAAAAAAAAAAAAGGTTTTCTGAACATGATTCTGAGGGGGTCACAGATCCCAGATGCCATCCACAATGGTGAGTGGGCTCAAACATTCAGCTCGCTTTCATGACCTTGGTAGGACAAAGTTTGTGGAGAGAAGGGGCTTCAGTGCAGTATAGTGTCTACCCTCCAAAGCAGCCATTTTCTTTAGCAGAACTGATCTCTGATCAGTTGTAATTCTGGGAGATCTTCAGGCCCCACCTGGAGCAGCA